CTACATCTCTTCATGACGGGTGCACAATGACGGGTGTTTAATGATGGAAAACAAAGGAATAATGTTTGTATCTTTCTTATCTTATCTTATTACTTGACTCTTACATGGTTAAGTAAGAAGAACAGTTGCTTTGACTTTGAGGCGCTGGATTTCAGCTTCCTCCTCTTTGTCTTTTGATTTTAGAAGAAATAAGCCTGCTTAAGTCCACTGAGATTTCGCTGCTGCTGCTGCTGCTGCTTTGATAGTTTTTTCTCCAAATGTGCTTTGAACGTGAGAGCAGCTTCGTGCTGGAGTAAACCTGTCTTATCACATGGGCAGAGTGACAGCATACAGAAGAGAAACAACTTCTTATAGATCAGTAGCGACTATTATTTACGTCAATCACTCTGCTAAGGGGGAGGCAAACTAAGAGGATAGATGACACCCATAACCACAGCAACCACACGTACCTACCGTTAGTGCACCACACCTATGAACCTGCACACTGTTTCCTTTGTCTTTCATTATGCAAAGGGGAACAGAGCTGCACTGACAGGTAGATGGCACCAGCACAGGAAAAGGAAAAAAAAAAAGATAAGACAAAGACATTTTGACAACCTGCAGCTTTTGAACAGAGCAGCACCCAATGACTGCTAAGATAGCTGGTTTAAAAACACAATATAATAACAATATAAATAAAACACAACAAAATTTAAAAGCGCTGCGACATATGTCACAAGGCTCTAAAATATACAAATCATCCTCAGATGCACTCCAAGACGCCACCAATGTAACAGTTCTTGTTGCATAAGTCTAGTCTACATTATTAATAAAATAGAGGTAAAAAAAAAAAACCCAAAGTGAGAGTCAAGTCTTGACAGCGGATGGATTACTTCTATCCTCTCCCCTTCTCAGACTTCAATTATGCTGAACAGTCACGGTGCTCAGGGACAGAAGAGATGATACGACTTATACTTACTCATTCAGATCCACAAGCCGCTGATTTGACTAAGGAGGTGTCAGGGACTGCGAGAGTGTTATTTGAATGTGCTGGGAGCTTCAGCACATCCCTTCTCTTATGCCTCACACTTTAGCACATAATTACATAATCGTTGACTGATTCTTCGGCTGAATTGCAAACAGGGAAAAGCACCGACAAGGGAAGGGAACATTGCAAATATTTGATAATGCTTCTTGGGAGCAAACACGGTGTATGAGCCATCCTGAAGTCCCTACTGGACCCTGCATATGTCTAATGTGTAAAATACAAACAAGAGGCACATTTTTTAGATAAAGGTAAGGGAATCATTAGTAAGAATGACTCAAGTACAGAGTCAGAGCGCAAAATAACACTCTCAACGCTGTTTTCCTACGGAGATTCGATTATAACTTTTTTCAAAATCCCTTATATGTGACTCATTCAAAGTGATGAGGGGTACCAGCCCTCCCCTCTTTTTAACAGAGCATCAGTTGAAAGCAATGAGGCCATTGCTGGCAGTTTCTATTTTGAGATGCATTAAGCTCCCAGAAAAAAAAAAAAACTAAAACTGCTAAATAATTGAGACGAAGCCTCTATCTTAGCCCAAAGTGAGCCATCAGCTAGCTCATCACGGCCTCACATCATCACTGAAGTTCCTGTAAAGATGGTTTTTTTATGAGACGGCATTTATGAGAAACTGTGTCATCTAAAGAGCCCATGCACCTCCGACTAGATGGTATAAATAAATCCGTTGGTATCTTGTTAATTCCCACGAGAGCAGCAACTTTTTCTATTTTTCACTGCATTCATTCCACTGTGTAAATATGGGGTTTCAACAGTGTCCAGCATGCTGTCATAGCTGCAGTGTGATGCTTAATAATTCATCATACAGATCCCTTTATATATATATATATATCCCTTTTGGCTGTAAATACTACAGAGGCCACCTGTTTTTAAGCTGGCTTCTAAAAAAGCCAACTGGCTACTTCCTTTTTTCTGTGTGTGCATTATAATAAAATAAACATGGTGATAAGTCCATTTATGACTTCACATAATGTGTACAGTACAGTACAGTACAGTCATGCTGTCTCCCACCAATCAGTCAGACTGGCAGCAGTATAAAAAAAATCTATGCTCAGTAAATCATCTGTCATTTCTGTATTCTTGGCACAGCAGAGCACGAACACTGTAACACACACCAATGCTAAAAAAAACAAAACAAAACAGACACTCGCCTCAAATCTGTCCACGAAAAATGCCACAAACAGTGAATGTAAAAGTGGGGATGAAGACAAACCGTAATTGTCCCCCTCCATCCTGGTGGTCCTGATGCTGCTGCAGGCGTCACTACCCGGGGATGTCTCACGCCAAACGCCCGCAGCAATCCGGATACCTTGTTCCTCTTCTTTCCGGTCTCCTGTTTGGCGCTGCCTTTCGCTCACCTCCCAGGTTTTTTATTAGCTTTGACGGCAGGCTCTCTAAAAATATGCCAGCTCACTCTTAAGGCAGTACTCTTCAGCTTGTTGTTGTTTGTAGCTTTAAATAAAAAAGAAAGAAAAAAGAGCATGAGTGTGTGCCGATGTTGGCTCGCGGCTCAGAGAGCGAGCAGCCGGTGCACATGCTGGCCCCGCCCATCCCAGATGTGATGTCACGCTGTAACTTATTTAGGTAACAACTTTGCTGAACGCTGGTATGATTCATTTACCGTGTAGAGTACAGACCTGGCTCTGAATGCCTGTAAGCATGCATACGTGTTATCATTTTAACACATACTTTGATGTTAATGGTGGGGGGAAACTTATTTTACAAACTAAATCCTTGTTTTGATACGGATATAACCCTAGACCATTCATATTTACCCTCAAACTCCACATTGGGAAAAAAAAAAATTCAAAAAGGGCGGACACTTTGGTATTTAAACCTGGAATAACTGTTTTGTTTTTGACCACTAGCAAATTTTGGTTAAGCATTCACCGTCTCCTAGCTGTTTTTAATCTACACAAACGCCTTAAGAAATGTTGACCAACTAGTCAGTTGCTAGCTAACTGTGTCCGCCGTTTGGTGTGGAGCAGGGTTTAGCATTCAGTTTCTATTTAGAGCTTTTTAGCTGAAAATGACACCATGAGAGAGTGAACCCGAAAAGTTACATTGCTTTAAAGCTCCGCAAAGCCAGCTGCAAACTCATTACTGAGCAACCCCTTTCACATTGGTATTTGATACATTATATTTATCAATTATAACAGCTTTAAAGTTTCAGTATCAATCATCCCTCACACCTCTGGCTAATCAGTTACGTCACATGAGGTGTTTGGCCTCAGCCTCCAAATGGGAAAAATGCATATGACGTCACACAAAGGGGCGTGGTCAGAAATGTAGAAAGCCTTAACGTTTCAACCCAGACAGCCATGGAAGAATAAATGTAAATGTATAACAATACATTTACTCGCTTCTAATCTCTAGAAACAGACGCTAGCCAATGGGTTCTTTGATTGCTTCCCCTCAATTCACAGTAATAGCGAATGTGCTTTAGTTGATCATCCTCGTTGGATTTTGTTGCTGAATTGCTATAAAATTTTAAATGACCTCCTTTCTACATCGCTTCAACTGCTATCATAACTACATATCTAATTACATTTATTCATTTAAAAAAAAAAAAAAACATTCAAAGCAGAAAAATACACAATCGGCTCACAAAAGTCACAACTTTATTGCACCTTTATAGTTAACTATAGTGTGGTAAGAGACGCTTTCATTATGAAAGGTCTCTTCCCTGGTCAGAAAAGGTGGTGCGAAATATAGAACCATCAATGCAAACATGTGGACCGTCCATTCACACTGGTAAATGTCCCTCTGTGTCAGTTTGAGAGTCACACCCTACGTCGAATTCACAGCCGACAAACATCCTATAGAAATTAGGCTGCCGTAGCCTCTCTTGTACTGTACACACTACAGTGACATAGGGAAGGTCTTGCATGAAAACAGGTAACTCTCTTATACACAAATGAACTAACACATTTGCAGAGTAATTCTCAAGTTAACATCCACCAACTGATCCAAGTATTAGTAGCACATTAAAGATCTGTGTCTTTTCTTCTTTAAATTATATATTTATAACATTAAATCCTATACTTTTTTTTATAGCCAATTCAAGGCAACATCTCTAGAATGAAAAGAAATGCATGGGCAAATCTTTACAGCGTTGGAGGGAAACAGGTAGCACAAGATGGACTGTACAGTCTTCTACATTGGCAAAGCATTTTTGTTATAACGTTAGTTTCTCTACGCATCTGTGCCCGGGTTGGTGCATGATGATCCCATGGTTTCCACACCTGAAATACTTTGTATAAAACAGTTTTTACAGGATGTACAGGATGCAAAATGGTGGTCCAGGGAGAGGGACTACTCTGTGAAACAAGGGGCGTCTTATCAGAGACGAGGATGGGGTAACAGGATGCCTGGGTTCCTGAGTCTTAGCCCAGTTTCTAGGTGACCAGCATGACAGTCAGAAAATTGCATAGAGATATAAGATACAAGGGGAAAAGAAATTATTAGCATGTGGCAGTCCCATTCTAACACAGTGCCTGAAGTATAAAATGTAACCCTTTTATTTCAGTACATTGGTAAAGAACAGTTTGTGACGAGGTTTGTTAAAGAGAATGGAAAAAAGTCAAATCTCCAGACTGAGAGCTTCTGATTGCTGGACTGATGAGATGAGCTACAACGTTAAATAGCTGCACAGTAGAAAACAACTGCTCCCGTCTGAGGTCCTCCAACAACCCCAACTTCTACTCTGCAAACGCATATTGCACTATGAGCTGTTGGGGAAACGATAACGTCCAGGTAAGCGTACAGATATGATGAAACTTACAGCGTCCGATGTGTTTGTCAATGTCAAGACTTCTAGAGTTAAACTGTTCATACGAATCAGCAGAGCATCCTTTTGTGGTGTAAAATGCATTATTTTATCATACATTAAATCTGAAATAATCAGAATTTAAAGGAACAGAAAAGGGTACATAACCAAGAGAGCAGAACTAAAAACAAAATTCATTTTTGTAAATTTTTAAACCACTTCTGACATGCATATTAAAAAAAAAAAAAAAAGTGGCAATTTTAAACCCTCATTTTACCAACAATATGCAGGCAAAATTTGGTCCTTAAAAACAAGCCACATGGCACAGACACTGCAGCAAAATAAAATGACAGCGGATAAAGTTATAAAATAAGAAAATTATACAGAAATCTAAAATAATACATGTTTTATGAATAAACAATTTTGGATCTTTATAATTTGGTATAGAATAGTTTCAAGAAAAGGGTAAAAGAGAAAGGTCACTTTTTTTAATGTCCAACTTACTGAGCCCTTATGTCTGCAAAAGTATGCTCTGAGATTGTGTATAGTTTTCCAAGTGTTGCAGGTATACTTTCTCATTTTAACATACCCTTCTCAAATATGGCAAACTGTTTTTAATTTCATAGTAGCCTGATTTTTGAGGGGACAAACGAGGCTCCAAGGATGCCAACATAGGGTTTCCGGTAAATACTGCATGCATAGAGAAGTTTGAGCCACTTACTGTGGTATTTGGATTAAAAGGGATATGACTGAGTAAAAACCCACTGGCCAATGTTACTGAAGCCTGACGACAACATTTCATGTTTGTTTAAAATTTAGATTTAAGGGGCTGTCAGTCAGACTGTCAATGTAGTCCGTGTTGCTTTTGGCTCATGTCTAATTCAGGGATTTGGGTCTTAAACTTAAAAAGACAGATTAAAAAAAAAAAAAAAAAAAGAAAATAGTGAGAAAAGGTACAGAAGTTTGGTATACAGTATTGTCTCGATTTCCAGTCAGCATGACCTCAACAGCAGTCTGGACTCTCAGCGACGGACTCCAAAAACTCTCTTCCCACCGGGTGTTACAGACCACTTGTTCCGCCTGTCCTGGATCTTCTGAAAGATGTTGCTGCCACTTCTCCACTTCTCTCTTTTATAGTTTTTCACTTTCTTCACCTGTTCAATCATACAAAAAACAGGTGTACAAGTTGAAATGGGCATCGACTTTAACAGGAAAAACTGATTTTAAATTTGATGATTATACTTTGTGTTTTCCCTCACCTTTCCACTGTCAAAGTCTTCATCCCACTCATCAATAACAGTGTCACACTTGGCATGGCGGACATCTTCAATAGCGTCTCTACTAATAGCAGAGACCTCTCCATCCCAACTGAGGACTGGATAAGACAAACAAAAGCATGTAAAAACATGTTTTGCTACAAATGAACAAATCAAAAGTATCGCCATACAAAAGATTCAGATTCACAGAGCTCCAAAGCGTCTCACCATTCGCTCCGTAGGCCTTGTCAGTGGCGTTTTTGAGCAGCTCTTCTACCACCCCACTTGTCTTTTTCCCATCCCAGGCGACGGGAGCAGCACAGGTTGGGGTGTCTCCTGATGCGTCTCCATCAGCCGCTGGCGCCTGGCTGCGTTTGTAGCCGTCCTTCACTTGACTGTCCCACACCACCACAGTGGCTGGATTTGGGAACAAAAAATAAATCAGCAAAAAGCAGTGATTAAATTTGGCATTCTCAAAATGTAATGAGTCACGCTCTCTGAGTACAACTGTGAAATGACTGGTCACTCAAATGAAAGGCTGAGCGGCTGTAGTGGTGCAGTGATTTTCAACAAATTACTGTAAATCAGAACAGAGCTGTATTGTATGTTTTGTGTTGGCATGAAAACAGGATTGCACATTTCTCACTGCAGTTGTCATAGTATGAATGCATGTGCGAGTCCATGCTCACATACCTCCGCCTTGTTTACTTATTTTGCCGTTCTCTGTGGCGTTCTTTTTTGAAGGGGGCTCCACTGGTTCAGGCTCGTCGTTCGCTTCAGGTCCGTCTGAGCATCGCCTGCTTTCCTCCCACAGTCTCACCTCTTCTTTTAGCCTCTTCTTCTTCCTCTTTAATTTCTTTTTCAAGGGTATCAAATCTCCTGTATCGTTAACGACTGCGGCCTTTGTCTCAGAAGTGCTGTTGGGTGAAACGTAAGTGCAGCTAGGTTTTAATGTTGTGCTAAGTGCAAACAAGAGGCAAAATATTTGTATTTGGCAGATAAAGCCAAGCAAACAGCCCCTGCTTTTTCCAGATATGACCTCAAATCTTTACAAAGTTGAGCAAATTCAATATTTTTAGAAAAAGATGCATGATGTCAAGTGCTTTGTACACAACAGCAATAAATAGAAATAGGAAAAGTACAGCAATAAGATAGAAAGTTGGTATGTAGCACACCAGCTGCATTGTGGGAGTTTCTAGAAGTGCCTGACAGTTAGACATAAGCACAGTTCAATGATACAGCCAACTACTGAGAAACAACAAAAAAAAACTGAATCATTAACTGTAACCCACGTTTCTGATGCAGAGCACGCTGAAGTGGTCTCCTGCAGAGCCTCCGCCAGTTGCATCTTCTTCTTCTTCTTCTTTTTCATCTTCTTCAGCTTTACAGAGTCCCTTCTCGTTTCTTTCTGACTGGACTCACACAGCGTTGGGGTTGTAGTAGCTAACAGAGGCTTCTGTTTTGACTGTTCTGTGTCTGGACAGGATGTGAGACTCCATATGCCACCCTGACACCAATCCTCCTCCTGGTTCGATGTGTCCAGATGAGACGGGACGCACTCCCTCTCCTTCACGTTCTCGCCATCCTCCTTCTCCCTCTTTCGCTTTTTCTTCTTCTTCTTCTGCTGCCTCTTCTCACTAGCCGATTCCACAGGCTCTTCCGGCGTCGCTGCGACTGGCTCTGCGTCGCCCTCCACCTCAGAATGCCGCCGCTTCTTTTTCTTCTTCTTCTTCTTTTGGTTGACCTTTTGAGCCAGGTGGCTGTCGAGGTCTGGTTCTTGGGCCAAGGAGCTGAGGTTGTTGGAAGACTTGGGGCTTTTCAGACTTGCACTGTGAAGCCCGTTGGTTTTGAGAGAAAGGCTGGCGTTTGGTTTTTGCAGTGTGGACAGATGGGACTGTTTCTCAGGGCTCTGCTGTTTGAAGGATCCACTTGAGTGGGCAAAAGGCTGTGATGACTGGACTTTAGGTGAATGGAATGGACCAGCTCTGGGAAGAGAACGAGACAGAGAACATCTGGATTTACTCTGCCATTTTATATTTCTAGCGCATTTCCTGTGTGATGTGTGGTTCAGAGTTCATACCTGTGAGTGTGAGTAGGTGAGGCAAAGGTGAGGGGGTTAAGTTGATTTTGATGCGTGGGGTCTCTGGACAGCTGGCGTGGCAAAGGGGGCAGAGCATCAATGCTGCTCGGACTCCGGCTGCGAGCCTGCAGTTATCGACATAAATAAAAACTTGGTGGTCTAAAGAAAATAGCCATGAATGTGACAAAAATAAGGAAGAGGAAGATTTTAAAAAAGGGATGGCAGGAAAAGATGGAGGGAGGAAAACAAAGAGGAAAGGGTATGGCAGAGAAGAATTAGAAATGGTTAGAAAAAAAGGACAAACTAAAGGAAAAGAAGACAAACTCTAAACAAGTGCTACCATGTGGTTGATTAGACAGGCACACTGGAGAAATAACACATTACATGTAGCAGACAATAAACTAGAAAAGGAGAGTTTACTTGCCTTAACAAAAATAGTTATTGAAATCAATGGTCATATTTGGGATAGCAGTGTGGAGTGAGGCAACAGGAAACCAAGGTATCATGAACTTTCACTAAGACAGGAGGTGGTGCTGCTGCTGTGGATGGGAATGAAGTTCACCTTCTTGGCTGACAGGGCCAGTTTCTTTGCAGGTGGAGGCGACATGGTGCCGGTGGCTTCAGATGTGATGTTGTTCAGGGCCGGGGGTTTTATTTTCGCCGTCTTCTGCTCCTCCGTGCTCTGAGAACGCTCCACGCTCTTGGCTGGAGACGCCAGGCCATTGGAGCCTTTCCGTGGGGTGGAGGGAGTCTCTCCTGCTGGCGCACTTTTGGTACCCACGGAGTCCTGGGCCAAAAAAACAAAAGGCAAATCATAGGCTGTGGTTACACTTCTCTGCATCCACACTCATTAAAATCAACAATAAACATATGTTATAAAGTCTGCATACTTAAAGTTCTGACCACCACACACTATTTATTCATACTTTTCCATATATACAGTATTTATTGTGTACTTAGTAGTCAGTGTTTTATATTCAAGGTGGCTACAGGATGCTTTTCCACAATATTTACATTTGCATTAGAATTCAAACAATTCATCCATTCATCAGTTAATAGATAAAACGTTTCTCCAGAGAAAAATGAAACATTTCCCAGCTTGTGAGAGAATATCCCTCTTTACTTTGTTTTATGGTTACTGCAGACTAAGTATCATTGTGATTTGGAACATTTTCAAATTGCGATTACAGCTGACTAATGCTAATATGGAATAATAATCACTGAAATTTTAATTTTAAATGACATTTTCAGATGATGAAAACAGCCATGATCCTGCCTTTGAAGTAAGATTTGTGCTTGTCTGTGCATTTTCAGAGCAAATATTACCTTCGAGTCAGTGGTGTCGGCAGAGGAAGAGTCAGACAAAGACTTAATTGAGGTAGACGCTGCCATGCCTCTGCCCTCGCCACCTTGCTTTTTATCCCCCTCCGTCCTGCTGACCCCGTTGTTGGAAGGTGTCGGAGTGCTGCTGCGGGACTGCGCTTGGCTCTGCGGGGAGGGCTTCTTCAGCTTCTTGAAAGGTTCCTCGATAACCGTGGGCCCACCTGGCAGCTTCGGTGGGCCATTGGAGGATGACATCCAGTTGGTAAGTCTGGGCTGTGGCTGAGAGCTCACACCGTTTCTGGAAATGGGCAGACCCAAACCACCGTCCATGGACTGGATCTTGCGCAGTTGTGCAGGCTCAAGTTTCTGGAAAGAGGAGTAGAATATTTAGAATGTGTTTTAAATTAAAAAAAAAAAAAAACTTGGCTCGCTCTTTCAGCCCACGTGTCCACCAGAAGGGCTGGCTGTGATCTTGTCTCATACCTTTGTGACCTGCGGGGAGGAGAGAGGTCCGTTCAGGTTGGCCCTCTTTATCTGTTCAGACGACACACTGTTCTTCCCAGGATGCAACATCCCCTGCTTGGTGGTCTGGCCATCTGCATTCTTCTTGGTTTCAGGGATCCTTTAACATACAAATAAGGACACCGGCTTATTTAATCCCATATCCAGGGAGGAACAGAAAGCACTATTTGTGGTTTCATAGAGCACCCCCACAGTGTCTTACCTCAGGTAGAAAAGCACATAAGCCTGCTGGTTCAAGACCACTTTGATGTTACTAGAGTGCACCATTGAATCATTCATTTGGTACCATTGTCCGTTGCTTGCCTAAGAAGAAACAAGAAAGAGATGTTAAAAAAAAAAGAGACACAAATACAGCTGAATATTAAAAATGTAATCTCTCATTGTATTTCATTAACTGGATTAACCCAAAACAGATTATTATATCTATAAACAGTTGATTTTTTTCAAGAAATATACCATGTTTTGTTATATCCTGATATTGTAATGAAATGAATGATACAATTACATATAACAGAAGATTGTATTTGTACACTCTCCTTCAATTATCTTTAGAGCCAAAGTTATGCAACTGATGTCATACAATATAAGAAATAAATACTAATGTTACAAGTAAATGTTATTTCTCTGATAGGCAGTGTAGCTTTTTAAATAGCAGTTACAAACAGTAAAAGATACAAAACTACTCATGTTTCGGACATAAGCAATTACATTTTATAGCTTGTCACCATTTCTATTCATTATTCTATATTTGTTGTGCCATTGCTGTAATATTAATCTGTCAGATGTGGTGGAAGGACATTTTAAGTAACTTTTGTTGTTTTACTTTGAGTTATAAAAGGAGCTTTTATTCTTCCCTTTGTTTTTATTTTATTTTATTAAAGTTTCTGTGCTTGGAAATACGGTATCTCTTCTCAAGGTGTTTATACTTAGATTAGAGAAAAATAAATAGAAAGGTGTATCTGTTCATCTTACCTTGACATAGCAGTAGTAGTGGCCAGCGTGACAACTGTAGCCAGAATGCACCAGAACAGCATAGAGGCCATACATAACAGGATCGCCTGAGCTCTGAGACATGTAGGGTCGGATGTTCAGAAATTCTGGGTAACCGACATCCTGAAAAAGAAAAGAAAAAGACGGGAGAGAAATATGAGATCACTCAGAAATGAGACAGCTCTTTCAAAAGCAGCGAACAGTGTGAGGATTCTTTATTAACCTTTGTTATTTTTCCTCCACTGAAGTTGGCGAACCTCTTCAGTGAAAGGGTCAGTACATTAGATGTTCGATGGACTGTGAATCGCTTGGTCGCTGGAACTTTCTTTTTGCACCTGGCAGGGAAAAAAGAAAGTCATGACACTTCGTCCAAAACGGATCGCTAATGTGAATAAAAGTAACTGAAATAAAATACATATATATTCTCAATCCCTGCAGATTCACTTAAAATATGTTTTCAGACAAGATGAATGGCACTTACTTGGCACACATGTAGGCATTCTCTCCACTTAGTACATCTGGTTTAACAAACAGCTCCAGGGCTCGCACGATGTTTGCTGCTTGCTGACAGACAAAAACAGAAATACTTTGTAACAAAAAAAAACTACATACTACATACTTAATATTTCCACAGAAATAAATGTTATATTAACGTACCCGAATCTCCACAGCGATGTCCAGGTAAGGATCATACGTGTCTGACACACTTTTACAAATAGAGCATTTCACTGAAAAGACAAGATAAAAAAGAAATGTGACAATCTGTTCATGTAACAGGTGATTACAGTAATATTTCACACAAGCCTCAGCTCCACTTCCTGTAAACAGAAGACAAACCACAGCTACGCCTCTCAAACATTAAGGGGAAAAACCTTTACATTCAACACTCAGATCTGACACTCACTACTGGACCAAAACAACCGAATGAAAAAATCCTACAATTTTACAAGCTGCTGCCTAATCTGAAATTGCTGAATTTCGTAATTAAATGTATCATTTAACTATGAGGGAATTTGGTTAATTCTAGAAAATAAATCTTATTTGGATAAATGATTTAAAATGAAAAAATAAATAAATAA